GTATTCTCTTTTTTTGTTTTGCAAAGGGACTACCTTCGGTGTCTCAAAGTGCTGCTGCTGCTGTTGCTGCTGCTGCAGCGCTGGCTTCAATTTAGGATCGGCGCTTTGCCCCCGTCGTCCAAAATGGAACTTTCGCCCAGCGCGGGCCACTTTTCTGGTTCCAAGCCCTTCCTCATCGTTGTCGCCCCCCTCCATTCCTCTTCTCCACCGTCCCCTGGTCCGCCTGCTCCTCCCGCTCCGTCCACTCCAATTCTCACTGGTGCTGTCCGTCCTCGTCGTCCTCCTCCTTCCTCCTCCTGCTCCTGCTCCTCGGCCTCCGCCTCCTCCTCTTCCTCCTCCTCCTCCTTTTCCCGTTCCTCCTCCTCCTCCTCCTCCTCCTCATCCGCCTCCTCCTCCTCCTCATCTCCTCCTCCTCTTTTCCTCCTGCGTATCCTACTGCGCGTCCGCCTGCTGCTGCTCCTCCTCCTCCTCCTCCTCCTCCTCCTCCTCCTCCTCCTCCTCCTCTTTCCTCCTCCTCCTCTACCTTTCTTTACTCCTCATCCCGCTCCTCTCCTCCTCCTCCTCCTCCTCCTCCTCCTCCTCCTCCTCCTCCTCCTCCTCCCTCCTCCTCCTCCTCCTCCTCCTCCTAATACTCCTCCTATTATTCCTATTCCTCCTCATTGTCCTTGTCCTTGTCCTTGTCCTTGTCCTTGTCCTTGTCCTTTTCCTTCTCCTCCTCCTCCTCCTCCTCCTCGTCCTCCAAGTCCTTGGCGCACCACGTCCCGCATATGCAAGACGTGGCACAAAACGGCGGTGATAAATACGCACAGCACGCGAAAGAGGGATCAATCTCACTGGAACGGGAACGACCTGCCGAACTTCACTCTCAAAAGAGGCTCTATCCCACCTTTGAGACCCAGGGAATAGCTGGCAGCTTTGTTGCTAGGCCCTCCATTGAAGGTTTGGTAAGCAGGATCACCTTCTTAGTGCCGAGTGCCCTCCAAACACACACACACACACACACACACACACACTGCACCACACTCGGGCTTCTGCACCGATTGAAGGGTGGGAAAGGGTGGGCCAAGCGCGCAGGACGGGGAAGGCCAGCACACGGAAACACAGTCATAGCGCCTCTCGACCAAATCACGACTTCCACAACGCACGCAAGCATATTCTTATGAACCCACACAAGCTCATGCCCATTGGGCTCGGACGCGAATCCCAAAACTTCGGGAGCTTTGAACCGCTTGGCTCTGGACTTTTCGGCGCCCCCAAAATGCAACAAGGATGAAGCACCCCGGCCCCCGCGACCAGGGCGGCACGGCCTCGAACACAGAAGTCCTGAGCCTCAAGCTGCTGCACAAGAGCCGGCGGGACAGGATGCATCTTAGCTCCTGGCTCGGCCCAGCGATCGGCCTCTCGGTTGCATCGCCCGGCCCACCACGCACAGCCCTCGGACGCAGCTTTGGCCCAGGACAGGTGGCTCCGAATTTTCTGCAGAGGGATAAGCGCTGTACTATCATCACGTTTGCGGAAAATCACGCGCCGCAGCTCGGCGTGCGAAACGTTATCCAGCGACTGCTGGGGGCAGCCTGCCATATAGCAACTACCATCTAACAATCGCAAATCAGGTGGGCGGGCTCGACTCCTACATTCTTGATTAGCAAAAGCAGAGCATGCACTTCGGCACACCCCGGATGCTGGACTGGGCGCGGGAGGCAAAGGCCCGCGCAGACCCCCGCCCCAGCCGCCGTGGCGGTCGACTTGGACACCCCCGAAGCAGCACGCTCCACCGCGATCTCCAGGGAAAAGCGCCGAGCCGTCGATGCCCACACAACCATTAAAAACCCTGTGAGGGGGGGCAGCACGCCCCATGCCTGTGAAAACTCCAGACGGGGGTCGGGGGCCTCGAAAGCCAGACTGGGGGCCAGACAGCGGGCGGTGCCGATTGCAGATGGCGCAGGCTATTCTCCATCTCCCAATGCTCCTGGCACATCGAGCTCTCGACGCACCTACCACGTAGCTGGGCATCCAACACGCCTGCGTTGCGGAGCGCCGATGTCGCCGCAGAACTTGCACTTGGGACAGGCCGCGCGGCGATCCATGAACAGCGCGCGCTGACTGGGGCAACCTCCAGAGACGGTGCCAGCGAGGAAGGCTGTCTGAGCAACCAGACCCTGGGAACGAACTTTACGAAAACCAGCAGTTACAAGTTCCAGACGGGGGGGCCCAGTCAAGATACTCCAATGGAAACCTCGGATCAGAGACAGAACCAGCGTCTCGAGAGACTTCTTCTCCAAATATCCAGAATCAAGAACTGTGTCTCGAGCGTATTTCCAAAACCACGAAACGTTGGGCCGCCCGGCCCATGCGCCCCAACGCGCAGAAAACTGCGCCTCCAGGGGCTCGGACCTGCTTCTTTTGAAACTCCGAATTCTGCTGGGCAGCTCCAATAAAGGTTGGCCATGAGGCTCTTGGGCAACCACTGCTCGCGCCAAGCCTGGCCTGCGCCCAAGTCTGGAGGGGGGGGGGGGGCCTGCAGGGTCGGGTCCAGGGCATAGTCGGCGCAGAGCAGGAACGCGAGGGCGCGCGATCTCCCTCGGGACACACCAGAAGCACTGCAGTTGAGAAAGCCTCTTGCTGGAAACCCCGTGAAATCCAATCTCCTCCAACGACACGCGGCAATCTCCAACCGAGCAACAGCTCACCCAGTCTGGCTAGGAGTTGAGGCCCCTCGGGCCCGAGGGCCTCGCCCCCTGTCGGAAGGTAATTTGAAATAGCCTGGAAGCCCCCTGGGAAGCAGGCGTAGACCCAGCAAGTGTGGATCCCGTGGGGTCTAGACAAACGCGGATATTCGGACCCAGAAGGGAGACGCACGCCGAACGACCGGCGACGTCCGACACCGACGCCGCTCGGAAGGCCCCCCTCCTGGGTCTCTTCGGATGCTCGAATGCTGCGTTGCTGGCCTCAGGGCGCCGATCTGGACTCAACCTCTGTAGTCTGAAGCGAAGCGCGGCCTATCTCTTGCACGAACACGACATCGGCACGCGACCCTTCGGCCGCAAATCGACAACTTGGGAAGATCCGAGGGGGGAGGGATCGGAGGCACGAGGGGGGAAGCGTTGCAGACTGCTTTAGAGGGAAAACAAACCTCCCTCGCTTTTGACCACCCTCGCTTCCAAGAGATACCAAACGATGCCAAATTGCAGCCTGTACTGGTCAGGCCGCTTGACGAGGAGGTGCGTGGTATGACTTGGTTTTGCCTGGAAGCGAAAGCGGGGGAGGTAATTCACGCTCTGATGCTTGGCGTGGCAAAAGGTCAAATATCGACTAGCCCGCGCTGCCGGCGCCCAGGGCCGCCCGTGCGCGGGTGCCGCCGTTGTCGCCGCCAACGTGGCCGTAGGGGGCGGAGCGCTGGTGTCCGCGCCTCCATCTCCGGCAGCGCGTGCGCATCCGTGCGCTTTTTGGACAGCTGCTCAGTGCTCCCTATGCGCCTGCACCAGTGGCTCCAACTTCTCACGCGCATCGCTGAACAAGTCAACCGTGACCGACTTGAGGCCGTCCGCCAGCAAGCTCCTCGGCCCCTCCAGCTTGTCCTTGTCTTCTGTACCGAGCTCCTGGACTTCGCCGAGGCCGAAGAGATCGTCATCTTCCACGAATATGTCCTGCACGCTGCCGTCCAGGATGCCTTTGGTAGACAGCTTGGCCACCTGCTTATATTTGGCGCCACCACCGAGTTTGTGAATGCAGGTGCGCAACAGCATGATGGTACTCGGCCTTCGCCGATTCCACCTGCTCGACAAGGCTTGGCGACCACAGCCTGCTGCTCGTTTCGCAGCTTGGGGTAGAACTCGATCTTTTCAGTAGCGTCCAACAGCTGCTTCTCGACATACTGCAACTCGGCATGGGCCTGGCCAGCTGCGCCATGAGCCGCGCTGCCAAGCTGGACTCTACGTCTCCGTCCTCGTTGGCAGGCGAACACCGCCGCCATTGGACCAACCTCCATGCTGCGCCATGGTCTTGGCATGAACGGATGCATGGGGGAGAACATCTTCCCGCTGGCGAACCTGGGCGGCTCAGGACAGCGGTGCGTGCTGGCTCTGTGCCTGGGAACTCGAGCCCCAACCCCAGGGAAGGCGAAGGCCCAAAACAATGGCTTGAGCCAGGCTACGGACCCCTCCTCCCTTCCTCCTCGTCCTCATCATGATCCTCCACCCTCTTCCATCCCCTCCTCCTATGTACGTAGCTCTTCTTTCCGACTGCGCATCATATCATGTGTGTTCTTATTGTGTCTTTTCCATATGTGCTTTACATGTTCCCCGCCGCCGCCCCCACTGGGAATGTAGGGCGAATTGCGGTATTCGGGTTGGGTTGGGGTGGTTGCTGGGTGGTGGTTATAGGATGAGGTTACTTTAGGAGTTCCGCTGTGACACACGTCTCCGGATACAAAACAATCGGCACCATGGGGAGGGATGGGTGGGAGGGTCGGATGTCAGCTCTGGCGCGAGCGCACCCAAGCCTCCACATCCTGCTCCTCCTCCCTCTCGCCTCCTCGTCTCGGCCCAGGGACAGCCCGACGACGGATCCCCGCACTCCCCGCTGGCCCTTGGGCGTTGAGGCCACTCCAGCCGAGGATCTGAGCCATCCAACCCCCCCCGTGAGGTGCCCCCCTCTGCTCCTCCTCTCTCCTGCCCTCCCTCCTCGGAGGCCGCTCTGCGGCTGGGGGGTCTGAACTGGTTGGGGCCCCAGAAAATCAACCAGGAGGGGGGATGAGGCCAAACCTAATCAAAATCGCTCCCAAGACCCCTTTGGTGCAACTTTTTCACCCGGGATGGGTTTCTGACGGTCACTGGGGCCCGAACACGGCACCTGGGAACCGAAACAGGCCACAAACTCGGTCGAGCCGGAAACCGCGAAGTTGGGCACCCCTTCCTGCTCGCTGGAACCTTCAAGGCCACGTCCCCCCCCCCCGCTGCCCGCTGCCAGAGCACTGCCCTGCCGCGGGGCGGGGCGCCCGCCGAGACGCACAGCAGCAGGCCGCCAGCGGACCAGCAAAGGCGCCTTACAGGGGGCCCGCCCAGGCACCGGACCGGCAGTGATGCGTCGGGCGACGAGGTCTTCAAAAGAGGTTTCCCAACTGGGGTCCGAGCGGAGACGGAATCCACAGTCCAGAAGCCGATGGAGCTCCAATCGAGGACTGGCCAATGATATCACCGCCGCCCTCGTCAGAGAAGGGATCCTCCAGGGAAGAGGGTACTACGCATGGAATGAAGCCAGTGATAAGATGAACGATGAGGCGATGGTGGGATGGGAAGACTGGCCGCCACCCCTGGCACTGCACGTACGCTGACAGGGTCGTGGGGAATTTGCGCCCCGCGGCCCCTACAATGGGACCTGCGGAGGGTGTCAGGCCTTCTAGCGGCCCTCACTGGCAAGGCCTATGACCGGTGGGGGGGGGGGAGAAAAAATCCTGAAAAGGGCAGCGAGGGAAACGAAGTCCACCACCCAAACCCAAGCACGAGAGAATCACTATCAGAGGAGCGGGCGGTCCACAAGCGGAGAGTCACGCCGAACGCACCGCCACATCGCGGCGTCACGCCCCCGTCGAACACCTCGCTCCTATCCCCCGGGACAGCCCTTCGAGAGACAGCACAAGTCCCACGTACTTCAACCAACGCCCCACAGTACACTCAGAGTCCGACGATATGATGTGCTCCATCCGTGCGGTTGTTCCTCGATCTGGGCCCTCGGGGGCCGTCCTTGGATTTCGCGGCGATGAGAAACGGATCAAGGGCGCACAGCTACCCCCATGTCCAGAGTGCTGGGGCCGCGGATTGAACAAAACATGAAACAACGCAGCGGGTGGTCGGCCCCTGGGGGCCCTCGCCAGGCCCCGAGATTGCAAGGACCCAGGGCCTTTAAGAAACTACTCGGGTTGAAAAACCAGCCTCGGGGAACGGGGTCGTGACTTCGGTGCACGCAAGACTGAACAAATCAAGCAATCGGATGCCTGGGAAGATATCTACGGCCCCTGGCCTTGCTAGGGAGACATCTGTACACCGCTCCTGGGCCCAGAATGGGCCAGGCCAGGGACAGCAGGTATGCGTACATCTCGTCGTCCCAACGTGTGAATCCCAGCAGGTCAGTCTTCCGAAACGCTGGCAGGGCTCAGAGTGTTATGAGAGCGCGTACAAATCAAACTCGGAGGTCCACGCGGGTTGCTCGCATCGGCGCGGGGGTCCCCTGGTGGCACCTCAGGCGCCGCCCCTGGCGCGCTCCGCCGATCCGAAAAAACCGCGCGGACCTCCGAATTGCTATGGTTATGTCGTTGCTTGCTCCCCGAAGAATTCTGAGGACGTCTGCAGCAAAATGGACTCCAACGGGGGTGTCCGATACCCGAGCGCCGAATGGACCCGCAAAGGTAGGGTTCGCTCGTGGTCGCAATCGGAACATGATGCTTTTCGCACTCTTCGTCCACGCTGGCTTGGACGCCCGAGCTATCCGGGATAACTGCGGTCTGAGGTAACCCCAGCCCCGATGATTCGGAAGGTTGGACGCCCGAGTTATCCAGGATACCTGCGGTCCGGGGTAACTCTGGTTTGGGCCCCGAGGCGCGAATCTGTAGCTACCCCTGACTGCCCGCAACCCCGATAATTCGGAGTGTTGGACGCCTGAATTGTCCAGGATAGCTGCGGTCCGGGTTAACTCTGGTTTGGGCCCCTGGGGTTCAAATCTGTAGCTACCCTTGCCTGCCCCAAGCCCCGACGATTCGGAGCTTGACTGGTCGTCGTCATTTCGTGGATCATTCTCGCGAGTTGACGACGGCCGGCATAGAACATGAACAAGACTGGCATGAACAACATTCCGCGACATTTTGGTCACGGTAATCGTGCTTAGTCCCTCGAGTCGGGCGAAGAGCTGGCCAAGGGGGGAATGCGCCGCCCCCAATCTTCGTCAAATAAAACTACGCGTGCGCACTCCTTTATAAAACAACCATTCGTGTGCAAGAACCCCTTGTACACGAATGGGGCGACAAGCGCACGCGCACGTGTCGTCACGCGCGTATGCCGACATCCTTCAAAAACCTCCGGTTTGATATGGGATTCGGAATCGAGTGCCCCGAAAGCATACAAACAACAAGTTACTTTGCAACCTGATGTTGCGACAGCAAGTCTGCGCGCACGCTCTTGCGAAGTCTGAAGAAAACCACCTGTTTACCCAACCTTTGCATGGCATGCATCTCGCGCGCGCGCATGTCGCAATTATTCGAACGCCCTTGCGCTCGTGCTGGGGGGAGGGGCGATCCCTGACGAGTCGTACCATGCGGGCCGCTCGCGCCCGTCGGCCGGGCGCGCATCCCAAACATCGCTACTATCATCATTGTGTCTGCCATTGCCGACGTCGCCATGATACCGCGCCCGCCCGAGTCACCGACTCGCACGGAGGTGCCCGCGCGTGAGCACGGCCTGCGAGACGCGCTGAAGACCCCAGCGGTCAGCACCATCGCCAGACTAGCTGGCCGCTCTGCGCGCGAGCCTGCGAGCGCCAGCGCGGCCGCAGCGATGCGCCAGCCAGCGCCGAGCAGTCCTCGCAATCGCCTCGGCATGGGTTTTGAGAACCAACTTGCGGGTGGGTGGGTGGGATGATTGCGCGATCAGTGGAGTTGAATTCCCACTGCAGAAACATATACTGACACCATGTAGATTGCACATCATATGTTGCGCGGCATATATTACACCACATACATTGCACCGTCACATTCATTGTACCGCATGAATAAGACCGCGTACATTGCTGAGCATAGACTGCACATCATACACTGCACCACCTATATTGATCAACATAGATTGCTCAACCTATATAGCACCACGTGGATTGGACAACGTAGATTGCTCAACTGATACTGCACAACATAAATTGCACCACATGTACTGCTTCACATATGGTTGGGCCATTCGCCGCGCAAAGCATTATTTGACAAGGGGCGAGTGGGGGGGCGGGCGATAAGAAGACTCGCTGGGATAGTACGAATTCACAATTCAAATTAACATTGGGGCAGAATCAAATGTAAATGTATGTCCCAGGGGGGTGTCGATGAACCCGGAGGGGAGGGTTGAGTCTATACCTATACGACCACCCTATAGAGGGGGGAGGAACCAACATCTCACTCAATCGATCTCACGATCGACCTTTCTATCGATCTCACTGTCGATCTCACGATCGATCTCACTATCGATCTCACCATCGATCTCGCGACCGATCTCACATCGATCTCATTATCGATCTCACTATCGATGTGCGTCACCACCGCCATCGCGGCCAAATAGATGCCACCTCCTCTCGATCTCACTATCGGTCTCACTATCGATCTCACTATCGATCTCACTCAACGGGACACCATCGGACACCACGGGACACCTCGGTACACCACATCGATCTCACTATCGATCTCCCTATCGATCTCACGGTCAATCTCACTCAACGGGACACCACGGGACACCACGGGACACCTGTCGATCTCACTATCGATCTTACTTTTTGGGACAGCACGGGACACCACGCCGATCTCACTATCGATCTCACTCCACGGGACACCACGGGACACCACGGGACACCAGACACCACGGGACACCACGGGACACCACGGGACACCGCGGGACAACGCGAGCTACCGCCAGACGGTCGGACGGACGGGGGAGAATCATTTTTCTTGAGTTCGCCCTAGCAACGGCGGACACCACGGAACACTACGGGACACCGCGGGACACCGCGGGACACCTCGAGCCACCGCCGGACGGACGGACGGACGGGGGAGAATCATTTCTCTTGACTTCGCCCTTGCAACGGCGGACACCACGGGACACCACGGGACACCGCGGGACACCGCTAGGGGCCACCGCCGGACGGACGGACGGGGGAGAATCATTTGTCTTGACTTCGCCCTTGCAACGGCGGACACCACGGGACACCACGGGACACCGCGGGACACTGCTAGGGGCCACCGCCGGGCGGACGGACGGGGGAGACTCATTTGTCTTGACTTCGCCCTTGCAACGGCGGACACCACGGGACACCACGGGATACCGCGGGACACCGCTAGGGGCCACCGCCGGGCGGACGGACGGGGGAGAATCAGTTGTCTTGACTTCGCCCTTGCAACGGCGGGCTCATTCCTCTCGCGCGCCCACGCAGCTTAGCCTCGCCAACACTCACGACACGAACGAAACGAAACGATACCGGGTTGGGGGTCTCCGTTCCACTGCGATCTCACCCCCCGACCTGCGATTCCTCCCAGACAGGAGAATATATGCGGCGAGGCGGCGACGGGCGGCGACGGCGACAACACAGCCGCCAGACCGGCGGTCAGGCCCAGACGACGGGCGGCGACGAGGCGGCGACAGGGCGGCGCCGGCGACAACATAGCAGCCAGACAGGCGGTCAGGCCCAGACGACGGGCGGCGACGAGGCGGCGACAGGGCGGCGCCGGCCACAACGTAGCAGCCAGACCAGCGGTCAGGCCCAATTCCTCAGAACAGAAGTAAGAACTTGTTGCCCTGTGTGTTCAAAGACGGCGAGCTGCCACTCCCGACGTTCGACGACGACCTCCTTCCCTCCTCCTCCGGCCCGGCGCCTGGCGTCTCCCGGCACCTGCCAACAGGACCGCAGCCGCCAGGGGTGGCCGCCGAGTTCCTGCAGGGAGAGGGGGAACGCGCAGGCGGAGAGGGACGCCACCGGAAGTCGGCTGGCGGGTGCCAGAACACCATGGAGCAAGCAATGTATACGCTTCGTGGTTGCCCTTTGTCCCAATCATCCTGTGGAGTAAGGTCCTCTGTCTGAAGAGACGGCGTCCCCGCATCATCTTCCACCCACAATTTGCCTCCCTATTCCCATCATCATCATCATCATCATCATCATCATCATCATCATCATCATCATCATCATCATCATCATCATCATCATCAGCATCATCATCATCATCATCATCATAATCATCAGCATCATCGTCATCATCATCATCATAATCATCACTATCAGCATCATTAAATTCATCGCGTTCATCATCATCAGCATCATCATCAGTATCAGCATCAGCATCATCATCATCAACATCATCATCATCATCATCGGCAACACCACCATGATCCTCATCCTCATGAACATCGTCATCCTCATCCTCCTCCACATCCTCATCCTCCTTCTCATCCTCCGCCTCATCATCATCAGCATTATCATTATCATCATCACCATCATCAGCACCATCATCATCGTCATCATCTCCATCGTCATCGTCACCATCACCATCATAATCATCATGCCCATCATCATCAGTATTTGCACCAGCAACATCATTAATACCAGCATCATCATCATCACCATCTTTACCATCATAAGCATCATCAGCATCATCGTCATCGTCATCGGCATCATCAACATCCTCATTATCATCGTCAGCCTCATCATCATCATCACCATCACCATCAACAACAACATCATCATCAGCATCATCAACATTATCAGCACCAGCATCACCATCATCATCATCATGATCATATTCATCATCATAATGGTCATCATCATCGTCTCCTCCTCATCGTCATCATCCTCAGCATCCTCCTCATCATACAGATCAGCGCCATCATCATCATAATCGCCCTCATCATCATCATCATTATCATCATCGTCATCGTCATCGTCGCCATCATAGTTTTCGGCATCGCAATCGGCATGCTCATCGACACCGTCATCTTCACCGTCATCGTCATCATCATCAATCTCATCATCAATAGCATCATCATCATCATCATAAGAAACATCAGTACCATCGACATCGGTGCCGTCGTCATCGTCGTCAGCATTGTCTTCATTATCATCATCATCATCATCATCCTCATCATGATGATCGTCGCCGTCGTAGTCGTCATCGTCGTCATCGTCATCATCATCATCATCATTCGCGTCCGCATCATCATAATCATCATCATCCTCATCCCCAGCATCATCATCAGCATCATCAGCATCATCAACACCATCATCATCATCATCATCATCATCATCAGCATCATCACCATCAGCAGCACCATCGTCATCCTCATCATCAGTAGCATCATCGTCATCCTCATCATCATCATCATCATCATCATTACCGCCATCATTATCGTCGTCGTCATCGTCATCGTCACCCTGATGATCCTCCTCATCAGCATCATCGTAATGATCAGCATGATCATCACCACCATCAGCATCATCGTCATCATCATCGTCAGCATCATCATCACCACCACCATGACCACCACCACCGCCGTCAGCATCATCACCACCACCATCACCATCATCATCATCATCATCGATATCGGCAGCATCATCATCATCGGTATCATCATCAGCATCACCATCATCGTCAACATCATCGTAATCGTCATTGTCATCATCAGCATCTTCGTCATCGAAATTGTCATCGTCATCGACACCATCATCGACACCGTCACCTTCATCGTCAGCAGCTTCATCATCAGCAGCAACATCAGTATCATCATCGTCATAATCATACACATCATCGCCATCAACAACATCAGCATCATCAACATTAAACTCATCATGTTTAGTATCACATCATGACCATCACCATCAGCATCAATATCACCATTATCGTCATCCGAGTGTGGCCCATTTCGGCCGACCCCTCACACACCTCGTGGCGCATGCGGTGCCCCAGCTCACGGCGGCACACCCCCCACACGCTTCGTAGCCCCGTGGGGGCCCGACCGACGCCCCCAGAAAGGGGCGGGGGGTGGTCGCATGCTTTCCCAGCCAGTCTTGGCACACCCTTCACACGCTTCGTGGCCCCGTGGGGATCTCGACCGAAGGCCTACGTGGCAGCACCCGTATGCGTCCCCAGGCTCATTCGGGCACGCCCCTCACATGCCTCGTGGCCCTTGCGGAATTTCACCGAATGCCCCAGTGGCAGCGCCCGCAGGCGTCACCAGGACGATTTCGGCACACCGCTCGCACGCTTCGTAATTAGCCCCATATTGAATTCCACTGAAGGCCCCAGTGGCAAGGCCCGCATGCTCCCCCAGCCCCATTTCCGCACGCCCCTCACATGCCTCGTGTCCCCACAAGGAGCTCTACTGAACGCGATGTTCACAAGTGCGGCACTCTCAACGGCATACGGCTGGGTCCTTCGCCAAGGTATCTTCCCACGGCGCAAAGCTCTGCGCGGCCTCAGAGTGCCGACGATGGCCAGGGGGCGAGGTGCTCCCTTGACCAGCAACGAATGGTGTGCAACTTCTGCGCATGACTGTGCATGTCCTCTACTGCTTAACTTTGTTCAAACCTCGCGGCGCAACAAGTCGCGTGCGAGCATATGAGGCACGTTGTGGTCGAATTGGCTACGGTGCAGGACCCGCCGCAAGGGTCCAAGACCCGTCTCCCTCGGGGCCCGCTTCCTTCGTGCTACGAAGCCGGCCGGCTTCCTGACCCCGTTGACAGCCGCTTGAGTGAGGAGGGTTGGCAGGGTGCACGTTTTCTAGTGCGGTGTCCGCAAACCAATGAATATGATGATGTCTGGGATTGACCCCCCCCTCCCCCCCGACGCTACAATCAATCGCCACAAGCAACATACCGTAGACATGAGCGGAACTCAATTTTGCCCAACATTGGGGCGGGACCTCCCACGCAAAGATACACGACAATTCCACACCAAACGATCTCCTTGCGTCTCAGCGCATCATCGCCGAACCACCGCTGCCCGCAGAGTGCGACCCCCCGAGTCCTGCACCCACGTTGCAACCATGCCTTCGTCCGTGCAGGTAGCCACCACGCTCGTCGGCAAACCCAGGTTTGGCCTCTCCGCCCTCTCGCTCACCCGCCCAGCTCCAGGCAACGATACTGAGCATGGCAGACGTGCAAGGACCAACCCACGAGGAACACGTCCGCGGGGTCAGCGCTATCGTACCCACCGGTCGGAAGAAGTGGGTCGGAGCATGAAGTAGGAAGGCGCTGAAAGTAGACTGGGCATCCGCCCGCCCCCTTCAAACAAACGAGCAGGGCGAACCGCTCGATCCTTGGAAGCGCAAGGGCGCCTAAAATAGATTGGGACATGTGAATCCCCCAAAACCGACTTTCAACGACCGCCCGGTAACCATGGCCAAGAACACCGCGGGCGGTAGGCGTGCGAGGTGTTGCGAGAGCCCCACGTCTCGAGAATGCCCGTCCGTCGTGATGCTCACAGTGCGCGACGGCGCCCTGGCGGCCTCTGGCCATGAGCAGCCTGGCTCCGGTGCGGTCAGGCTGCCTCCGAACCGCCCAGAGGAGGGAAGATGAAGAGGAGGGGGGGGGGAGAGACATTCTGGACATTCTGATCAATGAGGGCTCATGGGCAGCCACGTGAGAGAAATCGCACAACATGCACCAGCACTATGCAAGCACACATATGGATGACAACAACAAGAAGCGGACGAGGAACCCAATCACCTCGTCACGCTGTCCACACCACGCCCTGCAGCACAGCTGAGCAGAGAGGAGGAGGAGGAGGAGGAGGAAGATGATGATGATGCTGATGATGACGAGGAGGAGGAGGAGGAGGAGGAGGAGGAGGAGGAAGGGGGGGAGGAGGAGGAAGGGGGGGAGGAGGAGGAGGAGGAGCACGAGGAGGAGGAGGAGGAGGAGGAGGGAAGATGAGGAGGAGCACCACCAGCAGGAGCGGAAAGGACAGGAAGATGAGGGAGGAGAAGCCGCTGCCCCTCGCGGGGGGGCTGCCCCCCACCCGGCCCCTTTTGAAGGGGCGGGGGGGCCCAAAGCGGGGGCGGATGGCCATGGCCAGCAACTGCAGGACCCACGCACGGCGACGAGACCTGCGCGTGCGCCTTCGGCCGCAATCGCAATGGCTACGATAGTACGGGCACGCCGCCAAGACACTACCAACACGAGCAGGCCACGGCCACGGCCACGGCCACGGCCACGGCCACGGCCACAGCCACGGCCGCGGCCGCGGCTCGCAGAATTGCTGACCCCATCAGGAAGGAGATCCCCGGAGACACCAAAGATCAGATCTTCCTTTTGAGCACGCAACGCCGCACCTGTGACGACCAGAGCGGCCAGCAGAACCGCCACTGGACCAAGCATCGCTCCAACTGGAACCAGCAGAGCGCCAACTTGGACACGCAACACTTCGACTGGAACAGGCAGCGCTCCGAGTGGAACGAGCAGCACCCTGGCTGAAAATAGCAGTGCTACGAACACCAGAGGAGACCCTACGACCACCTGCAGCGCAACGGGGAGCAGGCCTGGGCTGCCGCCGCAGCTCCGTCCACGGTCGACACCTCGAGAGAGGGGCACCGAGGCCGCCGCTCGGGGCGCGGGCCCCGAGAGGCCCAACAGACCCGAAGAGGGGGGAGGACCTGGCACAAGCCAACCGGGTGCCACGGCCCGCGGGCCACAGGAAACGCCTCCGGCCCGCGGGCCAGAGACCGCCGGCCTCCGCAAGTAGGCACCGGCATTCCTACCAACCTTCGTTGCCACCTCGGAGGTCACGGAGATCGTCGATAACAAGGCAACTGCCCTCAAGACGGAGATGCAGCAAGGGACCCAGACCCTCCGGGCCCGCGTCGCCACCGACCCCATCATCTGCACCTGCAGCGTCGTCGTCTTCACTGAGGTCGCGCGCCCGCCGGAGCAGCCCCGCCAGCCGCTTGAGGCCGACGAGAACCAGCAGAGCAACTTCAACCAGGCCTTCCAGGACAACCTGCAGAACGAGCGGTGCTTCCCAGAGCGGCAGCAGAGCTACGACCAGGATCAGCAGAGCAGCTTCGGGAGTCAACGCGGCAGCTGGAGGACCAGAGCTACGGTTGGAACACGCAGATCGACCCAGCGCACAGGCAGAGCGTCCTCAACCAGGCCCAGGCTACCTCCCCACTTCGGTCCACAATGGCCAGTACAACTCTGACCACTTTCCCGAGGAGACCTGCCGAGATACTATGCCTGGGCGCCGATCTGGAGACCGCGCGGTCTTCACAAGCACACTCTGCACATTGCAGACCACCATGTAGCATAAGGGCAAAGGGGTCCTGAGGGAAACGGATCCTGGACCCCGGGGCCGTCCCCCAGGACCAGTTCTTCATCCCGAGTGGTTTTCTGATGGTCCTGGGGCCCGTGTGGCGCCCAGGAGGTCCAAAACATAGAAAACCTCAGGACCCCTTTCCCTCAGGACCCCTCTTCCCCCATGGCGAACCCTTTGGACCACCGAGAGCCAGCGCCGCGCTTGCGCGGGCCGCCAGAACGGCACGCCCCATTCGAGACGAGGGCGCTTACGCGCGACCTTGCGCGGGCAGCTTGCACGCCAATGTCGGCGAAGACGACCCCGTTTTTTGTTGCGCCGCCAACCTGGACCACGGGAGCAGCGGCACCAGCGGGCTCAAGAAGCGCATCTCGGAGCCTTCTCGGGGAGTCTTGGGGTCCTCTTGGGGACTCTTCGGCCATCTTGAAGCAGTATTGGGGCGTCTTGGGGCCCTGATGGGTCGCTCTGCAGGTCGCTCATTCGTTGTTCCCGGAAATGATTTACGCGGCCGGGGGGAGGCCTGGGAGGGGTCCAGATCTACAAATAAAGCGGCGCCTGCCGTCGGTAGCAAAGAGAACGCCGGACGCCGTCGGGCGCCTTGAGCCATGCCCCGCCCCTCCCCGCCCCCCCCCCCCCCCCCCCGCCCCCCCCGCCCCCCGCTCGCCCTCGAAGAGCGACGAAGCCCCACGCAAATGTCGACATGGAACGCGGGGCACCTTTCCCCTAAATTCCGGGGATTTGAAAATAACGGCCCTAAAATTGGCATGTATTTTTCGGCACTGGATGCCGTTTTCGGGCCCCGGCGGCGTCGAAACAGGGCTCGCTCGAAACGGAAACCTGACTCGCAGGAGAACCGACGCTAGAAAATATGAGGGTGCGCCGCTGGATCTCCCCAAGGGGGGGGGGGTAGGACCCCCCCCCCCACCCCTTCCCCGATCCGTCGTCGGGGACCCCCCCCTCCCCCCTTCCCCGATCCCCTTTCCCCGATCCGTCGTCGGGGAACCCCCCCTCCCCCCCATTTCAAAAGAGGGGGGGGGTCCGCCCCCCCCCCCCTCCCCCCCTTTCGCCACGCCGCCCCCTGACTCCGGAACCCGACCCCCGCCACCCGTACCCCTAGTCCTCACCCTAACCCAAACCCCTAATCCTAGCCCCAACCACTAACCCCTGCCCCAAAGAGTACTCACTACTCATTACTCACTAGCCACTACTACTCGCTATTCGCTACTCACTTCTCACTACCCCCTACTCACTACTTACCGACCCACTACTCACTATCCACTACTCACTACCCACCACCCACTGCTCGCTACTCACTACTCCCTATTCACGATTCCCTCCTCACTACTCACTACTCACCACTCACTCCTCACTACCCACTACTCAATACTCGCTACTCATTAAGCACTACTCACTACTCCTTACTCACTATTCACTAATCACTACTCATTACCCACTACCCACTATACACGACTCACTACTCACTACTAACTACTCATTGCCCACAAATCACTACTCACTACCCACTACTCGCTACTCGCTACTCCCTGCTCCCTACACAATACTGACTACACAGTGCTCAGTACTCACTACTCGCTACTCCCATAGTCGCTACTCAGTACTCACTACTCACTCCCCGCTACTCACTATTCACTACTCACTACATACAATTCCCCACTCACTAGTCACTACATAGTCTCTCGTCACTAGTCACTTGTCACTACTCAGTACCCACTACTCACCAATCGCTACTCACTACCCACTATCCGCTACCCAGTTCTTATTACTCACTGCTCCCTACTCCCTACTCCCTACTCCCAACTCCCTACTCGCTACTCCCTACTGGTTAGTCACTAACCACTACCCACTACTCACTACTGACTACTCTCTACTCACTACTCACTACGCCCTACTCGCTCCTCACTGTTCACTACTCGCTACTCCCTACTCGCTACTCACTACTCAGTACCCATTGCCACTCCCCACGACTCTCTATTCATCACTACTCACTACTCACTAATCACTAGGCTGTACGTACTATTCAGTACTCACTACTCACTACTCACTACTCGCTGCTCACTACTCACTACTCACCACTCACTACCTGTACTCACTACTCACTACGCACTACGTACTACCCACTACTCACTACTCACTAATCACTACTCGCCACCCACTACTCACTACCCACTACTCACTACCCGCTACTCATTACTCCCTACTCCCTACTCAGTACTCACTACTCGCCACTCACTACTCGCTACTCACTACTCATTACTCGCCACTCACTACTTACTTATCAATACACACTACTCACTATTCACTACTCACTATCCCCCACTCCATACTCCCTACTCCCTACCCGCCACTCGCTACTCTCTACTCACTACCCAATACTCACTACTCACTACGCACTAACTCACTACTCACTACTCACCACTCCCTACTCCCAACTCCGTACTCCCTACACGAGAGGGGGGGGTCAGAACCCCCCTCCCTTCTTTCCAGCGCCAAGGGGGGGAGGGGGGGGGGGGGTCCGGACCCCCCCCCCGTTCAAAAGAGAGGGGGGAAGGGGGGTCGGGACCCCCCCCTTTAAGGGGGAGGGGGGGGGGTCTGGACCCCCCCCCCTGAAGGGGAGGCAGGGGGGGGGGAGGGTTCTAGAACCCCGCCCCCCCTTTAGTGTATTCAGGGAGATCCAGGCGCACTGTCAGAAAATATCAGCCGTCGGAAGTCGAAAAGAGAATATCCGAAATACGGAAAAACAAATTGGCCAGAACTTTGGGCTGATCGGTGCCAGCGTCGGATCTTCGAAGGCCTCGCCAAGGCGCGCGGATCGCCGATGCTCTGCGCGCGCGATGCGCTCTACGCTCGCGCCGCGCACGTCTGACGCTCTGCGCGAGCGCAACTGGGGAAACCAGAAAAGTACGGATGCCGCTGCTTCCCGGACCTGTACCGGGGTGCGTTCTGACCAAGATTTCAAAGCGAATCCCGCGGTGGGGACCATGGCCTCGCAGGAGACCGAGAAAGGGGATAACGGGCGACGGTGCCCGTTCCTCCTCTGAGCATCGAAAAGGCGACGCGAGGGTGCCAGGGGACGCCGCGGACACCAAAGCCCCCATGAGCGAGGAAAGAAAAAGGAAGCCCGCGAGCTCGACCCCTATCCACTTGTTCCTCCTCCTCCTCCTCCTCCTCCTCCTCCTCCTCCTCCTCCTCCCCCCTCCTCCTTCTCATCGCCTTCGGCGCCATTATCACATCTCTCTCTCTCTCTCTCTCTCTCTCTCTCTCTCTCTCTCTCTCTCTCTCTCTCTCTCTCTCTCTCTCTCTCTCTCTCTCTCTCTCTCTCTCTCTCTCTTTTCTCTCTCTCTCTCTCTCTCTCTCTCTCTCTCTCTCTCTCTCTCTCTCTCTCTCTCTCTCTCTCTCTCTCTCTCTCTCTCTCTCTCTCAATCTCTGATTCCCAGAAAGGGGGGGGAAGAGGGGGCTATGTTTCCCCATTCGAATGCGGGCGCCGCTCCGACGCCACGCGGGCTCACTCCCATATGCGTTGCCACGAAGACAACAGGAAGGAGCGATATATCTATATATACATACAAGACTGCATTGGCGCTTCGCGCCATGCACCTTGGTCCTTCAACCCTTGCGCGCGTTGGCGTCTAGCGCGGCCCTCCACGGTCTTGGAACCGCGGTTGGTTCGCGCCCAGTTCCCGGACCTGCACCTTACTTGCTCGCGCCCTCGCTTTGCTTGTCCGCGCGCCACTGGGACTCCATGAGAATGTCCCAGCGGACCGATCAGCGGCGATGAGAGCGGCCGTGGAGGCTCCGGAAATACAAAACGTCGGACAGAAGGGGCGGGAAAGAAGTGGAGGACGATTTGGGGAGGCGCGGCGAAGGGAGGAATATCATGAGGTAAGGTAAGGTAAGGCACGCATTGGGGCGGCGTGCTGTCTCGACTTGCGCATGGGGGTGAGACAAACGGAGATGCCTTGCGATCACATATGGAAACAGACCAGGGGGCTGCGGCTGCCCTCGTGAAACCTCCATGGAACGATTATTCTGGGATGCGATAGGGCATAGGGCAGCAAGCATGCAGGCAACGTACCGGATCCTGGAAATGCTAAGGACATATACCGAATTCCGGGGAAATGTGCCGAATCCCGGGTTCGCAGCCGATTTCCCGGGAATTTGGTTGCGAACCCGGGATTTCAAGCATTTTGGTGTTTTGCGTGGGATGCCACTGTCTGGCAAACAACGGAGCAGCGCAGCGAAGCCGTTCCGGAGGTGGCGGTCAAGTGGGGCGATTCAGCAGTTTTGAAGCCTCTTGGGGGGCCGTTTTGGCTGCCTTTTGGAGAGCCATTTTGGGGCCTCGTGGGTTCTTTTTGGGAGTCCTCGGGGCCTTTGGAAGCCTCTTGGGGCCTCTTGGGGCCCTCCTGGGGCCTCCTGGGGCCCACTTGGGGCGGAAAGTTAGATGTTTGAACTTTTGATCGCCCTGTGGGGGCTCGTTTGAAGCTTTCTCGGGGCCCTCTTGGGCCTTCTTGGGCGCCTCTTGGGCTGTTTCGGGGCGCTCCAGAGCCGTCTTGGGGCCGTGTTGGGGCCGTTTTGGGGGCCCCCCGGGCCATCTTGGGGCGCTCTTGAGGGCCTCTAGTTCTGTCTTGGAGCGTCGGAAAGCTAAAATGGCGAGAAAGCAGAAAACATCGAAAAACACATTGGAAAATTGACCATTTCGGCCTCCCGGGGCCGTCTTGGGGGGCTTCTTTGGGGCCGCTTGGGGCGTCTTGGGGGCTCCTGAGGCTGTCTTGGGGCTATCTTTGGCGTCTTGGAGCGCTTTGTGCCTGTCTTGGAGCGCTCTTGAGGCACTCGGGACCGCTTCAATGGGCGTCCGGAGGGTCCCAAAGTCCCAGGATCCCAGGAGTCCGGTTTGGGGGGGGGGGGGTGCGGGGTTTTGCGGCCGCCCGGGCTTGTAAAAATATAGGAAGAGGAATATGTGTGGGTGTATATTCGATATATATTATATATATATATATAATATATATATATATTATATATATATATATATATATGCATAGAGAGAGAGAGAGAGAGAGAGAGAGAGAGAGAGAGAGAGACAGACAGACAGACAGACAGACAGACAGACAGACAGACAGACAGACAGACAGACAGACAGACAGACAGAGAGCGAGAGAGAAAGAGAGAATGAGACAATGACATATATATATATATATATATAGAGAGAGAGAGAGAGAGAGAGAGAGAGAGAGAGAAACGCGCACAGGGGAGGCAAGGCTAGCACCCGCCGCAAAGAAGGGCGCGCGCCAATGGGACAACGCTGCGCGCCCATCGCGCGGAAACAACCAGTGAGAGACAACGGAACTGGAAGGCATGGTGAGGGGGGGGGCGAGAACCGGAGCTGCCAAACCGCCGCCCAAGGCCGCGTTGGCAAGTCGCAAAAAGGCGTCTGAGCCAAGCGCGCGGGTCCGGCTCTCAAGCACTAGCGGCCACTAAACCGCAGTAAAGTCCATTAAACCATAATTTCAAAATACTTTGGGGTTGAATCGAAGCTCCCATGCCTGGCCACCTAAACAATGTCGCAGCAGGGCCTTGACCCTTGACCCCTTCCGATGTCCTCCCTGCCCATCCCCAGGCTGCTCTCCCCAGCCCCCGTCCCTGTGGGGAGGATTGGGCTTGGTGCGACGAGGTACGCGTTGGTGACGACGCCGACATTGCTTTTTGACACCGCGTGGACCGGTCGGCCTCGAGCGAACACGGCTTTCCAATCGTCCACGCAGATCGCTCGACAGCGGTCGGCTCGGGCCTCCGGCGGCGCTCAGCACCGAGCGCCCGTGCTCGGGCCGCCACCGCGTCGACACAGCACGACCTACGGTGAGGGCCTCGGATAAGGAACCCTCAGATGAGGAACGCAGGGTCTAAAGTCGGTGGGACTCCAAGTGAGGCTTGGCCGTGGATATCGCCGCCGCCCTCATCAGATAATGAATCCTCCAGGGTCTGAAGCCTCCTGGGAGCATTCCTCACCGAACGCCCCAAGCGTGCGACAATTACCCAAGTTGCCACCAATCAACCGGTTTTCGGGTCATGCCTTCGGTCTCCGGCGGCTTTTCGGGACGATCCTGGCACCCCTGCAACGCCCTCGTCGAGGCGCAGCTGGTGGAAACTATCCCCCCTCCTAACGTTGCCCCCTGGCCCCGTGGGGGTCTGTTTGGTTACTCTCTGGGCCCACTGGCAGGCCTGAGCTCGATCAAATCGAGAAATCGGATCGGTTCGGAAACGGATCGGATCGCCATCGAATCGTCCCAAATCGAATCTAAATCGGATCGCTGCGCCCGGCGTCCACTAACCTCGGACGATGCCAATGAATCGGAACCGCGGCCCCAGCCAGCGAATCGAATCGCATCGCATCGAATGAGCTCGTAGGCGGCCCCGCCTGGCCCCCTGGGGGTCGCGAAGCGGCCCCGCACCGTGGAGCGGCAGGCCGTCGTCGTCGCCCCGCCCCCCCGCCCCCCCCCCCGCCTCCAAGCCACGTCGGTCACGTTGCCAACGTGCCGCTCGTCCGCGAGCTCGTGCTGCCTCTCCCAGGAGTCCAGCTTCCCCTCGGCGTCCGTGCCGGAGCGGGAGGGAGCCGCAGCGGGAGCGGGATCCCGATGGCGATGTGGCAAGATGGCGAGGTACAAGTCAGCTTCGGCAGAGATCCGCTTCTGCAATCCCCCTCCAATCATCCGCTCCGGCAGAAGTCGGCTCTGGGGCCGAAACAGGTTGCATGCAACAGACTTCGTGCCGCCCCTTTTCCAAGCCCCCCTCCTAAGTCCGACCCATGTGATTCTCGTCGCCTGGCTTTCGGGTCATAGCTCAGGCCCCATCGACCGTTCGGACCGATCTGGGCATCCCGATGACGCTCTCGGCGAGGCGCAGCTGCTGGAAAGGATGCCGAGGCTGGAAACCCGCCGAGAGCCGTCGAAAGCGATCCGGGCATCCCCAGAACGCTCTCGGCGAGGCGCAGCTGCTGGAAGAGATCCCGAGGCTGGAAGCCCGCCGAGAGCCGTCGAAAACGTCCGAAGACGGACCGCACCCTTTCCCTGTCCACGAGAGGAAGAGGCCCACGAGGAGGGCCTGAGGCCCACGAGGAGAGGGCGGGAGGGCCCCCCGAGGAAGCAGCTGGGCTTCCTCGCCGAGCGTCGGCGCAGCGGGGAGCAGCCAGCGGCTTCGTCGTCCCCCTGAGAGCGGCCGGGCCCCCCTTCTCCCTCTTCCTCCTCCTCCTCCTCCTCCTCCTCCTCCTCCTCCTCTTCCTCCTCCTCCTCCTCCTACCTTGACCTCCTTCGCTGGCAGATTCCCTTTCCTTCTCCTGGTTGTCGGGGCAGCAAGCGCGCGTGACAAACCTATTATGGCTGCCCCCGCCAGCGGTGCGCGATGGGGTGGTTCAGCCACGGGTCGGGACGTACTGGGCACTACAAGCTTTGGTCAGAGATAAGAGCATTTGAGGCCGGCAGGGGGATACGACAAGCGCAGACCAACGCTGTAAACCCAAATTATAGTCTGGCGCAATCGTGAGAGGCTGCGTGTTGTTTGGCAGACAAAAGCATACAACTTTAATTACGGATGGCTGTGTTACACCATGAGTATAAACATCAACTGTCGGACATCCGCGCGGATTTCTCGGATCGGCGCTGCATCCCACACCCTGGCGCACGCAGCGCGGTGGGCGCGGCGCCCGAGGCGCCGCCAGGGGGCCGAGCGACGGTCCGATCAATCCGCGGAGACATCCGATACATTGTTTTTCGAGCATGAGGCACTGAGATTCTAATCGTGCTCGACAACCGGATCGACCCCAAACATCCGACGTTCTGATGTTTTCCTTGCGGGTTGCCCTGGAGGTCCCGACCCCTTCCTCGGAGCCAAATTCATCCCGAGTCGTTGTGTTACTGCCCTGGGGCCCGGCGAGGGCCCCCAGAAGCAGATAACTGCCTGAAACCATTGCGTCTTGATTTTACAACGCAACGCTGTTTGGTTTTCGGGCCATAGCTCCAGCCCCTGGCAGCCGTTCGGGAAAATCCAGGCACCCCCCGAACGCCCGCGGCGAGGCGCGACTGCTGGAAAGCATCCCGAGCCTGGAAAACCTCGGGGACCGACGAAACCCTCAACATCCCGGACCTCGAGCCGACGAATATGCCTGAAACAGTCCGTCGTGTGTTTTCAAGACGTGAGCATGTATGGGATCCGGTCCGACCCTCGACGCGGGAATGCGGCACGGGCCTGGCACCGCCAGACGCAGATGCTCCCGTCCACCCCCGCGGTGACTAGACGGCGCTGGATGGGCGCAGCCCGACCTGTTCTCGGAGCGGACGATGGGCGAGATGGAGAGGCAGGCAGAAGGGGGAAAGGGAGTGCGTCCTCCTTATAACTTCTCTTACTCTTCTCTCTTTCTTGTTGGTTTGATTATCTCATTCTCTCTCTTTCTCTCTTTCTTTCTTTCTTTTTTCTCTCTCTCTCTCTCTATCCCCATTCATATATTTCTCCTACCCGGGACCCCCCCTTCTGAAATCGAATCTCCCGAATCCCGGACCCCTGGGACCCTCTGGACCCTTCGGATCCGTGGCCTCGGGGATCCCCTGGACGCCCCTGCAGGAGGCCCCACAAGCGTTTCAGAGCTCGTGGAGGCCCTTGCTGGGCCTAGGCACGGGCCCAACTCGGTCAGGAGGGCGGGCGAACGCCACCCCGAGGGCCCCAAGAGGCCCCAGACACGCAGCCGACGCCCGAAAACGGCCCAAAGAAGACCCCCCGAACGCTTCCAAACCGCAGAGCAGCATCGACTCTTTAGCGGTTTTGCATGATTTGGGGGAAGCCCTGTTCTTCGGTCTTCTAAGCGCACGAGACCGCCTGGGAGGCCCGAAAAATGCATCCAGGCAACCCAGGAGAGCCTCAAGACGGCACAACAAAGTTCCAAGATGGCCCAAGAGAGCCTCATGACACCCTCCGAAACATTCCAAATCGTGACCCGGTCGTCCAGGGAGACCGCGGTTGGAGGCAGGCAGGGTGGCCCGCGGAAGCCCGCCCCCGGAAGACGCCCAAAAAGGCCTCCAGAAGGCCTCAAGAAAGCCTGAAACTTCCGTGAGGCCCCTAGGGGCTCTCCATGGAGGAGCCTCCGCAAAAATAGCTGAGGAGGATAGGGAAGAGTTCGCAGGTTTGGGCGAGAATCCCACCAGCCCTCTGGGCATTGGTGGTCTAGAGCGGTTCCTCTTCCACCTCCCTTCTTCCCTTTCGGGGATGGGTTTACCCCTCCCCTTCCCCCCCCCGGCGGCGGCGGGCGGCGCGGCGGCGGCGGCGGCGGCGGCGGCGACGGCGGCGGCGGCGGCGGCGCGGGCGGCGGCGCGGCGGGTAGCGGCGGCGGCGGCGGCGGCGGCTGCGGCTGCGGCTGCGGCGGCGGCGGCAGCGGAGGCGGCGGCGGCGGCGGATTGGCCCCCAGTAGCTGCCCATCCAAAGACGACTGCTGAATATGCTGAGGCTCGGGCCAGACCCGGGTGCTACGTATGTGTTGGGAAGGCGGGTGGGAGTGAGCGAGAGGGCTTGCGGGCGGGGAGGGAGTCTTGATCACTGTCACTGTTCCCTATCGATATACACCCCCTCCCCCAGGCGACTGGGGGCCAACCCGAGCCAATCAGGGCCCCCCCACCATCCCTTGTAAAACAACAATATACAAAACACACTCTGCCTCCAAATCGCACCAGCCCTCTGGGCGTCGGTGGTTTAGGACGTTTCCTCTTCCGCCCCTCCCTCTTCCCCTTCGGGGAGGGGTTTACCCCTCCCCTTTCCCCCCTCCCCGTGGACATGGACGGGAGGAGCGCGGAGGTGCCAGGGCGTCCCAAACGGCCTCGTCGAGGAAGCCACAAACATTGATTTGACTATGGTTTTGGCCCCTTTTTGGCCTCCTGATGGGGGCAACCCTACTTGAAGTTCCCTCTTCTATAATCGATGTCCTCCAAGATGGCCCCAAGAAGCGCCCAGGAGGCCCCAAGAAGCCCCAAGACGACCCCAAGAGGCGCAGCGAACCCGATGCGGCCTCCCCCTACCATCCCTGTCAAAAAACGATGCAGAATACACTTGGCGGCGGCGGCTGCGGCGGGGGGAACGGCTACGGCGGCTGCGGCGGTGGCGGCGGCGGTGGCGGCGGCGGCGGCGGCAGGGGCGCGGCGGCGGCGGCGGCGGCGGACAGCGGCGGCGGCGGCGGCGGCCCATCCCATGTCGGCATACCCATCACACATATCGCGGCCCCATCGGGAGCTCCACCGAAGGCCCCAATGGAAAACTTTGCGTGGCACCGCCCCCCAATTTCGGCACACCCCTCACACGCTTCGTGGTCCGATAAGGAGCCCCGCCTGGGGCCACAGTGGGCAGGGAGCTCCACCGAAAGCCCCAATGGGAAAGTTCGCGTGGCGCCGCCGCCCCATCTCGGCACACACCTCACTCGTTTCGTGGCCCCCTAGGGAGCTCCATCTAGAGTCCCAGTGGAACAGTTCGTGTGATGGCGCCGCCCCATTTTGGCACAACCCTCGCACGCTTCGTGGCCCCATCGGGAGCTCCACCTAGGGGCCCCGTCGCGCAGTTCACATGGCGGCGCCGCCCCATTTCGGCACAACCTACACACGCTTCGTGGCCCCATAGGGAGCTCGACCTAAAATCTCACTGGCACAGTTCGCATGGCGGCGCCGCTCCACTTTGGCACACCTCTTCACACGTTTTCGTGGCCCCATAGGGAGTTCCGGCTAAGGGCCCCGTGGAATTCGCATGGCGGCGCCGCCCCATTTTGGCACACCCATCACACGTTTCGTGGCCCCAAAGGGAATCCCACCTAAAGGTCCCGCTGTTTGGCCTCGCGCCGCGGAAGGCCCGCGCGCGTCGCTAGGACACTCGGGGCGACCGGCGCCCGTCGCGGGAACTCCGCGCGGCGCTCTGCCCAGCGCCTCGCTCGCCCGTCATCGCTCTGCCCAGCGGCCAAAGCGTTGCCCGCCATCAGCCATCCAGCTAGCTTTCTTTGCTCCGCGCCGCAGACGACCCGCGCGCGTCGCTGGGACCCTCTGGGGGCGACCATCGCGCGTCGCGGGATCTCCGCGCGGCGCTCTGCCCAGCGCCTCGCTCGCCCGTCGTCGCTCTGCCCAGCAGCCGGATCGTTGCCCGCCATCAGCCAGCCAGACGACCCGCGCGCGTCGCTGGGACCCCTTCGGGGCGACTGGCGCGCGTCGCGGGGACTCCGCGCTGCGTTGCGCCTGCAGCCTTGGATCTTGGAGCGCAGGGGCAAAGAAAAAGGGAAACCAGGGGAGGAGACGGGCACGATCCTTCTGAGGGGCTTGCCCACATGGGGGTCGCGGCGCGCGGGCACTGCCATCGGGGTTTCCGGGGAAGCTCCCTGTGGCAGCCACGCTGAATGCTGCGAGTACTCAGAACCAGGCGTGCCAAAACCGTTCACATTCAGGTACATGTACACTAGGTGTAGCCACGCTCGCACTCAGACTCCTTCGCAGTCTGGCTCAACCTCGCACAGACTCGCCCGCGCTCAGTCCCTCGTACTCAGACCGATCGTCTTCGCTCGTGTTGTGTACCCCGCCACAAATTTCGGCACGCCCCTCAGTCGGTTCGTGGCCCCATAGGGAACGCCACCGAAGACGAGATTTACAATTGCGATTCTCACAACAGCATACTTATCCGCGAAGAGACTTTATCAGGGATGGGAACCGGAAAATTTTGAATCAGACCGGGCGGGGCCCGTCGCATCAAGTGACGTCCGCCTGTCAATGTTACGGAAAAGCGCATCGTCTGCATTGCGCGTCGCACGTTAGCCATCCGACTGGTAGGAACGAAACCGCAAGGCAGAAATTGAAACCGCCCACGCCAGCGGCCCTGTGAAGGATTAGATTGGAAGAGCACCTGGGCGTTAAGTGGCGTCCGCCTCCCACTGTTGCCACTGGGCGCGCCAGCCAAAGTGGGGCATATCGATGACCTGGCCCATGGTGCGCGCCTGCGCACGCTGCCTACAATGAACGGCGAATATAACTGAATGGTCCTCGTTGGGCGTTGCCGTCTGCAGATCATGCGACCATTCACGGTGATAGTGTTGTTGGTTTTGTTATGACTTTTCCCTGCTGCGTGGATGTCGAAACTGTTTAGGCGCGCTCATCGAAAAATCACACAGGTCGCACAGGTCCCGCGAAACCCACCGATCCCGCAACTCTCCCAAGTTCCGCGTGACTCGCAGGTCCCACAAGTCGCACAAGTCCCGGAGGGGCTCAAGTCTCACGAGTCCTACAGGACCCACACGGCGGCACGCGAACTAACGAGAGGGAGTCGCGCGGACACCCAATTCTTAAGCAGAATTGGGTGTCGAACGTGTTTAGGCGTGTTCCAATCGTTGTGTCGGCAATTGCCGTCTAGCGTCGGCAAGCTCTGCCGCTCGGGCAGATGGGCTCGGAAGCGCGCGGCCCCTGATGCACATAATGGCACCTGGACGGCTGCCGCGGTCTGCCGTGGCTTCCCTGGGAGGCCAGGGGGGAGCGCGAGGGAAAAGAACATGAAGATGCGAAGGAGGAGGAAAACGAGGAGGGGGGAGGAACAGGAGGATTGGAAGGAACAGGCGAGTGAGGATGCTGATGATGCTTCAGCGGAAGAGCGAAAAAAAACAGTGGCCGGCAACGTGGCTAGAACGCATGTCGTCTTCGTCGTGGTCGTCGTGAGCGCCGCGGTCGCCGTCGTCGTGGTCGTCGTCGTCGTCGCCGTCGTCGTGGTCGTCATCGTCGTCGTCGTCGACATCGCCGTAGTCGTCGTCGTCGTCGTCGCCCGCCGCTCCTGGCAATAACGCCTGCGTTCTGGGCCTGGGGCCCAGGACCCGCCCGTCGTTGTCGGACGGAACTCCATATTGGGCGGGAGCTGGCTCTCTGCGGAAATCCGCTCATAGCGGCAAATGTTCGATGTCCGGCGAAACTACTTAACGATTGGACACGGGCGGGTTCAGGTCCACTGTGTTAATTCATATACGGGACGCACTTCCCGTTGCCCAAGGACCCCACTGAACGATCGGGCGGTGGCAGGTTCAGTGAGTAAAACACATGCGGGGCGCATTTCGCGTGAAGTGGCGTGCCCCGGCGCGCCCACATTACGATATATTTGTTTCCGCCGTTCGTGTGTGAAAAAAAGGACGGGAAGCATCCGTCGTAAAGAGGAATTGTTTGAATGTAACAAATAATTCGTGTTGCCATCGACGAATATTTCTCATTTTACGATGGATGCTTATCGTCCTCATTCTTCAAGCACCAGACCAGAACGAAGAAAACAACAAAAC